GAGAAGGAGAAGATCGGCATGCTGGACAAGGCTCACAGTTTGATAATCCTGAGTCTGGGCGATAAAGTTCTGAGGGAGGTGTCGAGGGAGACAACGGCTCAAGCGCTTTGGGCCAAACTCGAGGTACTCTACCTGACAAAGTCTCTGGCTAATAGGCTCTTTCTGAAGCAGCGCCTATACTCCTTCAAAATGCATGAAGACAAATCCGTCTCAGAGCAGATCGACGAGTTCAACAAGATCATCGACGTCAAGATGGATGATGAGGACAAGACACTACTGTTGTTAAACTCTATTCCTAAGAGCTACGAGCATTTCAAGGATGTGATGCTCTATGGAAGGGTGCAGACTATTACTCTGGAGAAGGTTCAATCTCTGATTAGAGCCAAAGAACTTCAGAGGAAGCATGATAGGGACAAAGAAGTCAGCGGAGACAGTCTTATTGTCAGAGGAAGATCGGACAAGAAAGATTCAAGAAATGGTCAATACAGATCAAGGTTAAGCAAGGATGGCGGGAATCAGTCATCAAGGGGATCTTTCAAGTGCTATCATTGTCACAAAGACTGTCATTTCAAGAGGAACTGTCCAGACAGGGAGAATAAGTATCAAGAAGAGCTAGAAGAATCAGGAGAAGCAAGCGTAGCCTCTGATGACTACGATTCTGTTGAGGCCCTGGTGATCACAGAATCTGAATCCAGTAAGGAGTGGATCCTCGACTCAGGGTTCTTTTCACATGTGTCCTCAGAAAGACTGGTTCGAGACACTGCAACAGGAAAATGATGGGTTCGTTCTACTATGAGACAATAAAGCTCACAAGGTTGTTGGAAGTGGATCAATCAGGATAAGGATGTTTGATGGAGTTGAACGAGTACTAAAAAATGTCAGGTACGTACCAGAGGTCAAAAGAAATCTGATTTCTTTAGGTACGCTGGATTCAAGCAGATGCTCGTTCAAGGCAGAGAATGGTTGCATCAGAGTAACCAAAGGCCCCCGTGTCGTCGTACAAGGAGTCAGGAAAAAGGGGCTGGTACTGTTTGGACTTAGCAAACTCAAGCAAGGGCTGAGGGCTCCTCAGAGGCCATGTGGAGGGAATCTTTACTTTGAAGCTTCTCAATTGAGGGTCAAGGTGGAGAATTGTTGTTTTGACCCCCAATTATTGAACTAAGGTAAAAGGACATTTTTGTAATGTGGTACCGCTCATCTACCACATCTCACCTACCGTTCACCTACCGTTCATCTACCGCTCACCTACCGCTCACCTACCTCCCACCTACCACTCTCTTGCTTCTATAAATAAAGAGGGTGTGAGGCTTAGGAGAGCAAGGGAAGAGATTTTGAGATACCACAAAGGAGGAGAGAATAGCTAGAGAGCTAGAGAGGAGGAGAGCATCTTGAGGTCTTGTATCAATGTGTCGCTTGAGAGTGAGGTCATAGAAGGAAGATGAGAGTTCATCTCTATGTATAAGCTATGTATTCTCCATTTCTTTTGCCTTAGTGAACTATTTGATTGATTCCCTTTCGTGGACGTATATCCAGTTGGATCGAACCACGTAAACGATCTATTTTTGCTTATGTTCTTTGCGTTTCATTTTCTATGTCAGGAAGTACATATCTCACAACAACTACTTCGACAACAGCACAGATTGCAAATAAACAACTTTGTTAACAAATGACCTTCATGCCAAGAAAAGTAAAAATATGACGTGTAGTACTGCTTGTTAGACATTATAGTATTTATATTTCTATTATTTTATTCTACTTAAGGGTAGTTAGTATTTTTGCTTATTGTATATATATATTTTTGTAATGAGATGCTTGAGGTAATAGAAACCCTAGCAACTTTTTATTGTATTTTCTCTCACTTTTCATCTTCTCTATTTCAATTGCAATTTTTAACACCGCTGAGTTAAGAATTCACTTCATCTTTCTTCAGCAAATGCTTTATATATTTTTAATATTTTTATTTTTTGACTTTGAAAATAAATAACTTTGTTCCTAGAACATTCCAACTCTCGCCTTTCTTGACTTACACATAATGTCAAATAACTTTGAAGTCTTTCCAGTATTTTAATTATTTTTTAAATAAAGAGCATTGCAACGATCAGCCAATTGTCTCCCGCCTTACTTGACTTCACATTATTTTGAGCCACCAGCTAAATAAGATTAAAATAAAACTATTTTTTAATTAATATAAATAATATATTTTAATTAAATCCAAAAAATTAAAATTTAAAAATTGTACATCAAAAAGATCAAAAAGATGTCTACATAGTTATTAAAGAGATTAAATTATTCAAGTGATAAATGTACTATTAAGGCCGATCGACTGCTAGAAGATCGTGAGACCCACCTAACCAAAAGGGCAAAGTCATACTAGCCAAGATAACTAGGGAAAAACTGATCAAGTTACGAGGCGGGCAAAGCAAACGTCAACTGGTGAAGAGAATCTCCCATGGAGAAGGATGAAAGTTGTACTACCCTGTAAGTATAACCATCATAGCTAAAGGACTATCGTAGCGTCCACGTATGACGAGATGGACATGACCAAATGGCAAGAACCAAATAATGAAGGAATAGAACTTGTGTTCAACCTAGTGGCAGAAAGACTGGCCAAATCAGTCCTCAAGTTTGAAGAACTGAAAGGAAGAACAATCGGTATCACAACAAGCATGTTGGGGGAATATACGTTTGTTGTCGAAGTTCTTGTACTGAAGAAAGCCAACCTAGCGGCAAGCAGGCAAGCTCAATCAAACGTGGACAAGACAATTCATCCTTAACACTTGGATGCATTTTATATGACGTAGAGATGTATATATGGAGAGCTCCCTAAAATACCACTAATTTGGCTCAAATATTTTTTTCTTTCTCTCGAGTTATATTTGCTTTTTTTATACTTCTTTATAAAATTTTAGTTTTTTTTTTCTCTTATAAATCATGCTCATATGTATACTATTGCCCTAAATTTTTGAAGTAAATTCTTTTTCCATTTCGACATGCTGTAGAGAACGGAGTCGGGAGCTCTTAGTGTAGTCAATAAAAATTATAACCAGTGGCCGGCTTGCTAAATTTGATAATCTCTTGGACTCAAAATTTTATGCATTCAAATTGAAT